CCCATGTTCAACACCTTGTTTGCATATATCTTCCAAGTGTAGCTACAAAGTTTCGATAACTTGTTTTAAATTCCATGGAAAAAGATGTTGGTTTTTAACCAAATAAGTATGGATGCAGAGGTTGTGTATTTACCATTCGTATATGCGCTGCAAGCCTGCATTGGAAAATCTGTCCCAATATGCGGCATCAGTCTTGGACTTCTCAAAGAAATCAGCGATTTTGTTGCTTGCTTCATCTCCGTTGTTAGGATCAATATGGAAACCAGAGACCTCATCAACTATGATTTCAGCCGGGCCTCCTTGGTTGGTTGCAAAGGTGGGCAATCCACAGTTCATTGCCTCAATGACAGTCAGACCGAATGCTTCATACAGGGCAGGTTGCACAAAAGCTCCCCTTGTGTCAGCAATGCAACGGTAGAGCTCTCCATTTCGGTTCCTATCAGCCTGTGCTGCTATCCATCTGATCTGACCACTGAGTTGGTACTTCTCTATCAGTGTATGCATCTTCTTTATTTCAGCAATTTCTTCTCTATCTTTTGATTTCGAAGGGTCAAAGAATCCACCAACTACCACAAGGTTAACCAAATTTCTCAGCCTCTTGTTCTTCCCGTACCACTCAACCAACCCGGTAATGTTTTTAACAATATCCAACCTTGCCATTGAGAAGATGATAGGTTTCTTCCGGTCTACTAGAAATCCACTGTTCAAGAAAATGGTTCAGGTTGACGTTAGATTACTTTTGATTAGCATTTGAATTCTTAAAGAATGATTTGCTAGTCCAGGACTTACAGATGTTCACTGTTATCCTCTTTACTAAACAGTAGTTCTTCAATGGCAGGATAGAATGAAGTGAGCCGTTTCTGCTTCTCTGAGTAGGGGAAATATACAGACTGATCCGCCCCAGGAGCAGCGATGTTGAATTTGGGGTCAAATACATTGATGCCAGAAACAACTCTACAGAGCCCTGGGAGCGTAAATGCAGTATGACTTTCGTATTGTCCTGGTCTGTCTTTGCTGCAAAACAACATCCAAGTACATTATGGTGTAAACTGTAATGTAATCATTTAGTAAGGGTGTCCGAACATATGAATGCTGGTTAATTTTGCTAACCTTCCTGCAATTTCCTGGTATGTGCTTGCAATGACAAAATCTGTAGCATTCATTGAGATTGTGTCAGCAAGAAATTGGCATGAGAAGTGATACTTGGGATCTAACTCCTTCCAGTTGATGTCTGAATCTTCGTACTTGGTCTTCTCCAAAGCATGAGCAATAGTTGCCTGGTTTTAACGCGCTACGGGTTAGTAAATACAAAGTGGGAGAAAAATGTGTTACGGTTGTATCTATAAGATAAATTAACAGTGACCTGAGTTATCCCAAGTTTATTAGCCATGAGAGACGCCACCAAATTGCCATCTGTGTAGTTTCCAATAATAAGATCCGGCTTTCCTTCCATCAGATAGAGGATTTTGGCAGTCGCATCCTAGTAGTTTGAAACAAATGGAACAATTATTTTAGAGGAGAAAGTACATAAGGAGCAAAATCAATAATTGAGCACTCTAAAAGTATGAACTTAAATATCGATGGAAAACATGCCTGTGTAAACAACTCAAGATAGGGATAGATGTCAAAACGAGAAACCCAACGGCGTAGGATCCCCTTCTCTGTCCTAAATGGCACCCTAAGGATGTTAGAGTACTTGGTGCCATTGATTGGTTCCAACTCCTGGTTGCACTTAGTTCCCCTAGCTTCTGGTATGAGTCTTGTCACCTATTGTAGCCAGTGGTTAGATAATGTTAAATAAACCGAACTACCTTCCAACTTCCAAGCAAATCGTCCATAGTTGTATATGAAACATACCACAAGAATTTGAGGCTTCACAGTAAGTCCTTGTTGCTTAATTCTCAGGGTCAATTCTTCCTCCATAGCTTTCACTTGATCCAGAATGTAAACTACCTGTTTTCGATGGCAGATTCAAAAAATTTTGTCTCAGTAACGAATTCCATTTGCAAAGAGACTTAGCATATCGGATACAGTATTCAAATTAATACCTGCCCGCCCGTGTCTGGTAAGCCAAGAACATCCGCTTGGCCAAAGTAGCCATGGGGAGAGAGTATTACAACATTGAATATTGTGGGAAGCCTACTGAGAAACCTATCCATGTTCAATGGGTCTGGAGCTTGAAGTACTTCTGAAAGTATTTTCATCGTCTCCTGTGTTCTTTCTGCAGTGTCTCCCCACCCCTTCTCAAAGCCCCACTCCTGAAACCTGTAAATGACGCTCGGTTTCAGATTGCAAGTTACTTTACATGACACCGGCAAATAGAACATGAGAGGAAGAGTCACCTTAGTTCAAAATTTTGGAATGGTGTGTCCTTAGGAAGTGCTGAGAGGTACACTTCTGTTACAATCAGAGCCGCCTGAAGCTTCGAAGCCGTGTTGAGGGTCTCATTTAGAATAAGTTGCTGTAAATTCAAAATCACATAAACTATGTTTCAAACCTTATCATTAGAATGAAATTTGAGTTTCTCTGCATCAAATTTTATTTTTTGTCAAATTAAATTGCTGTGATTCCCATACTTCTCCATGATGGTGTAGTGAAACTAAGTAATCCACAAGGGGTTGTGCATTATCCAGTTTTCCAGCTAGCTTTGAAGTGGTGAACTTGGTAACATAATCGATTCCATTTCCGATCGAGGAAGATAGAGTCAAGTGAGGAGTAGAGAAATCAATTGCTCTAAAATCCACCTCCAATACATGTTCATCATTTGACCTGCAATGAAAAGCATATGGGGGTTAGGCTGGTTGGTGATTAGCGAAGGTAGTGTGCTCATCATCATCCCTTGCACCCAAAATCAAATCTCGCTCCCCGTAGATTTGAGTAATTTAGAATATCGTGTTGTAAAAAGGAAAAAAAACATGTACCATTTCTCATCACATAAAGCTTCTTTGTATTTCAAGAATTCTCGGACAGTGATAGCCTCAACTGCGAGATCCTCAGAGCTGACCTTAACAAATTCCCAATATCCTGGATCTAGTCTTATTGAAAAGACAACATGTGGAGGAACAACAACAGCTTCCTGTGGATTATATTAAGTAAACATCTCATTAAGTCAAAGGTAAAACCAATAATTATTTGTTTAACGAAAATTCTATGATGCTCTGGAGTATCCTATACCCTTGAGTTTTTAACCATTAAATTTTAGTTATTGTATTTTTAATTAACTAACGGTCTAACAGTTAAAAATTCTAGTTAGTCCCCCAAAATGAAAGAACATATATATATATAAAGAAGTGTGTAATTAGAAACCTGAGTTGAACACAATATATAGCCAAGAACACCCCCCAAAACTTGGGTTCTTTCATCCTTGTCATCTATGACTGCCTCCATTTCACTCATCAGATGGTGAAGCTTCATGATCCTTCTTCCTTGCTCGATGTACTTTGCAAAGCACCGCTTCATGTGGTACCGGCTCTGCCTCAGGGCGTCCGGCATGGTATCAGCTATGGAATCGGAGCGTTTGATGGCTGCTGCAGAAGCCATTTTTGTGTAAAATATTTTTCTTTTTAAAGAGGCAAAGGTTTCAAATGCTTAAAAGATGAAGCAGTTTGAGGGTTGCTGAGCTTATGTTTCTGCATTTATAGGCGGCTTTCGGAATTCATTACGTACGACGTATGCGATGCGGCTGGCTTGTTCATTGTTGCAGATTGCTTTTGGTTTCGTCAAGCGCTTTAGAAATCTGAACATTTTTTGCAAAAGAAAAGAATGTGATCTCTGTAAGTGAAGATATTCTGGTTTTGAAAAGTAGTGTTCATTCTCTCCCACGCAACTTACTGGTATCATTCTTTCCTTCTTTGTTTCTTCTTGTATTGGTTGGCACAAGAAAGAATCTCGAACGATGGTGTCTCCACGATACATAAGTAACAAAATTCGTTGGTTTCTGTGTAGTATTTGTAAAGGGGCAATACTTGGGACGAGTGAATTTTTGCTCGCCACCCTCAAATCATGGTAATGTTCACCGTTCTATTTATAACCGTTAAATAAGTTTGAATTTTGAGATTTGCGCTTATCCACTATACGAATTTTGAAATTCAAAATTATCTAATGGTTATAAATATGGTGGTAAGTATACACTATAATTTATGATGGTGAGCAAAAATACTCCAATTGAAGTAAAACGCCATCTATCTATTGCGTTTCGCCACTGCAGTGAAACGCCGTTTGCAATCAAAATAATTGGGTATTACAAACGAGCCCATATGCTCAAACCTAAAAATCAATTTATTTTTTGGGCTTTTCTTTTCAAAGCCCACAGCCCGATGAAAAGGAGGAGAAAATGTGACACAAGATCGAATAGGCCGACACCGACCGCTGATGGAAAGACACAAAAGATCAGCCGTACACCTGGCATTCGCCGCTACAATAAAAACGAAATTAGGGTTTCGAAGCAGTTCGCGAGGGCCTATAAATTCCAGTCCTTCCAACGACTTATTCATCTCTCTCCGCCTTCCAGCTGCGTTGTTATTGTGAGTATGTAGGATTAATTATACATTAGGGTTAGGGTTTTTAAAAATGGGCGTCGAATAAACTGATTACCATCGCCGTCATAACATTGGGCGCTGAGTATGAGCCGACGCCATAGTCATACGGGTTCTGTGAATAGTTGAGGGCCTTCTTGTTGTTTGTTCTCTCGCAGATTCGGACAAGGTTTTCGTCTTTCTATTTATTCTTCGTTTATTTTGCGTGCTTTTCCTAATTTTGTGTTGAAATTAGGGTTTTTGATATGGGGGTGGATTTGGGATTGAAGTGATGCTACTTTCCCCATATGATCGAAGCTGATTCAAACCTGTGCTATTTTTAATTTCCAAGCCAGAACTCTGATCTTTCCCAAATCTCCAAAATCCACCATCTTTAATTTTTTTTTGTCTCTTCTAAATTTCTTCTGTGTTTTTTAATTTAGTGTATGTTTTATGATACTGTTGTTGAAAAATGAAAAAGAAAAGATGGAAGTGATGATTATTTCCCCAAATGATCGAAGCTGAAATAACTGAGCGAATTATATCTCTGTATTGCGAGACCACCAAGCCAGGTGTATCTGATCCATCTTCTTTATTTGTTCTTAAGATTTTGCTCAGTTTTTTGTCCAAAACTCGACTGATATCAGTTTTGTTTTCTGAGTTTGGTTATGTTTTCTCAATTTTCCTTTGGACCTTTTTGATGGGTTTGATTTGGTTGTAATCATGGAGACTGCAATTTGTCAACCATATCGAAAATAGTGTGTAAAATTTTAGTTTGTCAATTCGTTGAAGGCTAGTCATTTGTGATTTGCTGAGACATATTGCGCAGCTATCAACAGCTGATTACAGCAGCACACGCAAAATGCAATGCTGAGTGCCTTTTAAGTTTTTCGACCGCCATGGGATCACTTCAATCATGTTGAGGTCCGTGGTTAATCTATCATCTAATCTAACAACAAAAACACCATCTTCCAACCAAGACACCAACAGGATCCTCTTTGGATCCTTTTGGCGAGGATGATGCAACAGGATCCTCTTTGGATCCTTTTGGTGAGGATGATGGTAATTTATAAATCGTGTTCGTTTATTGGACACCGAGCGATCAGTTTTTGTCAAGTACTGTTTATGTTTAGTTTTAAATAAAAATATTTAAAATGATTTATAAACGCATAATTTACGATAAACGAACACGATTCATGAATTTCTAGATCCTCGCAAAGAGAATCGGCAAGGATCCGAACTCAACAAGACAGAACTGAAACAATTTCGAGACCTTAATAATTACCTTACAAGTAACTACTGCTGTCTTTCATGTTCACTCTTTCTTCCTGAACAAGCCAAGCATTTCCATGTTGTTACCAAAACTCGAAATGGAAATGTCTCCGGTCCTCTTTATCACTAAAATCACAAGAACAACCCAAAGCTCCACGATGAATCCGAATGTCATACTTATGTACAAACCCATCTTTCCATTGCCTTCGCCGACTTCTTCAACTTTGCGGTCCTTACTATTGGATCCCGATAAACATTGGGTTGCCAATGGAAGACCGCAAAGTCCCGGATTTCCTTCGTATATGGTAAGATCATTAACTCACTCAGCTTGGACAACACTTACAAAGCCAAAGCAGCTTGGACACATGCCTATTTTACATGATCAAGCAAAGCTCTACACTATGCCCCATGACCATGACACGGTTTAGCTCCGTAATACGAAAATGATGTTTGAATCAAGGACATAATATTGAGCAAAAACGAAATTAACGATACAAGAAGCAAAGATGGAAGTGATGGTTATTAGTAAAAGATGCACAATTTTGTAGGAAGAGAAACCGAAAACCAGAGCCTTCCTATATCACAGTACTACTTATTTGACTTCAGATTAGGATAGTTTATTTTGATGTGTTGTGCAAATACAGTACTAGCTTTCTATGTGACTAATTGTTTGAATTTGATCAACCGCTGCCTAAGGTTCTCGCCTCAAGCGTCTACCCCTTGACTCGCTATTTAGTTATTTACAAGCAAAATATTACCCAGTATTTCACCAGAATTCCCCAATCTGAATGTATTCTCTTAATCACATCAAAACAAATAAATGAAATAAAGAAAGCAGAAGATTTTCATTTTTGGACCGAGTTGTTTTCATGAAAGAGATAACTTACAGTTTCATCACAATAAGAAATGGAATCAACCAGGATCTTCTTATAACTGAGCCTCCACTCCACAGCTAATCTCCACCTCTCCCTTGACTGCATACTACTTCTTTCTCCCTTCTGCACAACATTAGATTTGAAAGCACAAATCTCATCTCTACAAGTGGATGACAACTGATTGAGCTCCAAAGGGGACTCGAGATTTTGGATTTTGTCAATGGCACTTGATAACAAACGATCTTCTTCAAAAGATGTCGGCAGACTCTTCAAAATAGTGTTGCACTTCTTCGATATCCATGTCATGACATACATCTCATTTTGAATTGAGAGTTGGAGTCCTGAATAAACAAGATGTCCAACAGACCTTCGCTGGTTCTGTGGGGTTGCCCATAATCGCAAAGCTGACAGTAGAGCAAAAGATGGTTTCCCGCTCTGATGTATATACAATGACTCTTTAGGCCATGAACAGGACGAATATATTTCAGGTTCCAAAGGAATAAAAACTTTGTCATTTGGGTTTCCATTTAAGAGAAAGCCATAGTGCTCAAGAAGCTCCAGATTCGTGTATGATTCCGTAGCTTAAAAGGGCCTGCATACAATAAAGAAGTATCGGTTAGAAAAATCCAATTCAAGAACTAAAAAAAACCCTAATGAAACCAAATGGATCCCAGTAATCCTATACAAGGAAGTCATAACAAAGTTGAAGTAATATGCACTCATACAGCTATAAACATTTTTATCTTTTTTCACAACAGCACTACATAGATTCAGAAAGATAGCCTAGTTAACCAGCTAATGCAGAACAGTACTACTATCCCAAACCATATCCTGGATATTCCAAAGCACCTGCAGCCAGACTACTACTGTAACGTATAATTGGAAATTAAAAATCTGATCAAAATGAAAACCAAACCATCCACACCAGATTCTCTATTCAACCATCACCAAAAGCATGACTGCATCTTCCAAGCTTTTCTTCTTTTTACTATTTCCATTTTCACCTTTTCTAACCATTAAACTCTGGTTTTCCATGCTAACTCCAGACCACTAGCAAACTCTGAATTTTATTTTACTTCTTTTCTCTGTGTTTGGGTGAGGGATTTCCAAACTCCAAAGGGATTGAGTCCAAGTCAGTAAGGAATGGACCACAAAATGTGTAGAGTGGAGTTAGAAATGCACTTCATGAGCATTGCAAAGGCATGTATGAGGGATTTGTAAACTAGTCCTTCCAAGTCGTCATTTACAGATTCCTCTCATATACCTTTACTGCTCATGTGGTGCATTTCTAATCCCTCCTATTAACATTTTGTGATCCGTTCCTTGCTTGGCCTCGATACCTTGGAACTTCAAAATCCCATACCCAAACATAGCCTATAGGTTCTCTGATTGCTAAATTTTTAGTTATCTTCTACATCATAACCAATGGCAACACCCACCTTATGGTCTACATCAAATCAATCATAAACGCTTTACCAAGGTGGTTCACCATCTACCACAAATACTGTAAAAGTAAATATCAAGGTTTAGCGGATATCTTGAAGAAACAAAGATAGGTTAACCTAATAAATAACCTTAAATTTGCCAGTCAAAGTCAAACTATGTCAGAAATGTAAAAATGTAAAGCACTTTAGGATTCAGAGATTAGTTGAAACTGGAAGAGAGATGTAAATATTTCAATGTAGTAAGACATAGCCCACAAAACTAGAAGACAATGAGTACCTGGAAGCTATCATGCAGCAATAAATGATATCTTTAAGAGGAGACAAAAAAGAACATATTACCTGCTCCCCTTTTTTGTAGCTTTTCTTAGCATAGAAGCAATAGGCGTCCATACCCTTCTCAAACCCTCCATCAGTTAATCTTCGTGAATCAGAAGCGTCCACGTCCAGCGTACCAGAACTATCATCGTTCACCAAGTCATGCGTTGCATGCTCCATACTTTCACAACCAGAAGGCTCTTCTCCAGGTGCAGAATAATTAAATAAGTCTCCAACAGGACATAAGCACCCAGCTGCATCCCATGGTATATGCAACGTCCTTGAGGATATCTTTAAATAAGATAACAATTTAACAATTTGAAACATTGGAATATTAATTAAAAAACCAGAAGGTCCAACCATTACATGACAGTACTACTAAACAGTTCATTAAACCAACAAAACTGTACACCGTGAAACATGTGATTTAATAATGTGGATAACTCAGTCAGTGATATATAAGTGAAACTGATTGATCTGACAAATAAGATGTCACATTGAATATTGTAAATGACATGAAACATACAGATTTCTTGTTGTGAACTGAGAGAACAGAGAAAATAAAATGAAAGAGAGGCCGAAGAAAACAAAGAAACAAAACTAGAACAGAGAGATACATAGTTTGCATTACATTTTGGATACACTAATGTCTGTGTTCTCATTGTAGAAAACTCTGAATTCCTAATACAGTTGCTCCTTTGTGCACAAATCAATTTATTTATGACATGGACAATATGCCAAGAATGTTAAATGAATTCTGAAACTAGCGACTTAGACAATGGAAATTCATATGTATAATGTACATATATATATATATATTTAATATATGCAACCCTTACATCAGCTGTGGATATTTTGAATAAGCTAGACTTCCATTTAGCAGACAGTTAGCTACATGAGTTTACTTCCAGAGTATAGAATTCACATCGAGAAAATCTAAGCCGAGCATCAGAAGGTATAAGATCCTTGGTCAATTACTTTGTGGTTGGATGCGAAAGAAGTAGCCATACAGTCCTGTTCAATGCTTCTTAGTTTAATGCACCATTAAATTGGGAAACATATGATTTCCTATTGTTCTTGTTTTGGGTTTAAAAAAAGCCAAAACTCATCGGGGAATCTGTGATTTATCAATGTGAAAGGTTCCCAAATCATATACAATAATCCAAAATGTAATCTTTGAAACCCTATTAACGTATTTCATCTTTCATTAAAAGAAAAGGTGGGCAACTTCATGTCTGTGTACTCATTTTTAGAAAACTCTGAAACCCAAATATAGTTGCTCCTTTGTACACAGGCAATTCCGAAACTATAAGATACCTAAAACAAACTTACTGATATAACAGAATGGTTAAACGGAAAATTAATTCATTCAAACAATTATCTCAAACCCTAAGCACCATGATCATTCTCAAACCCGGGAAAGAGTGTATACTCACAGTTGCAGAAGCCCAAAGCCATGCCCGAATTGTCCGAAGTTGAGGCTTGAGCTTAAGTTGTTCCATGAGCGCATTAGCTTCTTTCCAATCATCCTCAGCCTTCAATGTGGCCTTTTCAGCAGCCCATTTAGCATCATCCACCTATAAATATTGCAAAAGAAAAATGTTTTAGCTCCTAAATCCCAACAACAAAAGGAAAACACACAGAAAAGTAAGTAAGCAGAATGCAACTGAACTTGCAGAGCTTGCTTCTCAAATTCACCAAAAGTTGCTAGAATGTCGTAGCTGCGAGGCAAATTCATCAGGTAAGGGTGCCACCATGAACTCTTCCCTTTCCCCATTTCATACAGTAAACAAACAGCCAATATCTGCATAGTATGAAAACGATAAAGGACTTTAATTTCACCAAAAACAAACAATTGGGTTTTTCAATTCAGCAAAAACATACAATTGGGTTATCAAAATTCAAAAAAATGAGTTCCAAAAAAAACCTGGGTAGGGGAGAGAGAGTGATGAGCATTGAGAGCAAGAGAGAGTTTGTCATCCTTCAGTGAAAGACTTGTGCTTGTCATCAAAGCGGACTTTGGAACTTTGAGAATTAACTCTCCTTCTGTAAGATCACGAGCAGCACTCAGACCTCTCCTGCAACATTTTTTCTGTGAGTTGTTGTGAGAGTAGAAAGTTGGTGAATTTACAGAGAGGAGAGGAGAGCGTGGATGTTAGTGCAGAAATTGCATACCCGCCGGAATCAGGAAAGAAGGAGACGGCGAGAGAGTGGCCCAAACACGAAGCTTGGCAACTGGTTGAGTCTGATATTCCAATTTCTGATGCCCATTTCAAAAGCCGTTGGAGATTTCCTTCTCCTTGCTCCATCTCCCACCAGCAGCGAACTGTTGGCAAACCTCAACGCTTGCTGCAATGGATCGGAATGCGGCTGTTAAAGACATGGGCTTTTGGAAAATAAATGGAAATAAACAATACTGATTTTTTTTTTTAAAATTAAAATTAATAGCTTTTTTTTTTATATTTATTTTAGAAAACTAACGAAAATGACTTGAAAATTTAGTTTTTAACCAAAATGATAAAATAAATGTGTAAGTAAATATTACCAAGAGTGACTTTTTAGGCTAAAAATGTCATAAACAGTATCATGAGTGTTTCATTAAAACTCTCTTTTTTGTTCACTCAAATTTTTTTCTTCTACCATGTAAATCTCATGATCTAGTGAAATTACGATTTAAAAATTAATCTTAAGAAGAGAGTGTTTTTTCCTTCCAATCAAGGTTTAGTCTGGTGGTCTTGGGTGATTTCACAATTAATGACATCGAGCAAGTTCCGTTACTTTTAGTTGAGTGATTTCAAGTTATAAAAAGGGCTCCATTTGAATTTTATAAAAAGCAGTCAAATAGTGAACTTAAAAAAATAATTAATCTTAAGAAGAGAGTGTTTTCTCCTTCTAATCAATTGGCTTGGTTGTGTCGGATGATCCGACAATTAACGTCGTTGAGCGAGCTTCGTTGCTTTTAGTTGAGTGATTCTCAAGTCATAATATTGGTGTTAATAATCTAGAAAATGTAAGTAATTTCCTTATATAAAGGGCTCCTTTTGAATTTTTTTTTTTTTTAAAGCAGTCAAATAGTGAATTAAAAAAAATAATCTTAAGAAGAGAGCGTTTTCTCCTTATAATCAATTGGCTTGCTCGTGTCAGGTGATTTCACAATTAACAACGTTGAGCAAAGTTCGTTCCTCTTAGTTGATTGATTCCTATATTATCTATCTTTTGTTTCTTTGAGACTCTTGTTCATCATCATATTGGTTGGCAGGGAGAATTCTCTTAATATATAACAGCATAGATTATTATTCTTATTAATTATTGTTGTTGTTGTTGATGTAAGGTGTTCATGCAACCACATATACAATAGCCCAATATAGACTTAGCAGGCCTACAAATTTAATTAAACAAACCACCATTAACCAAAAAAAAAAAAAAAAAACTACAAATTCTCACAAAGAGAGGACACCAACAGCTTATAAAGAAAAAAGAAGACTCTCAGAGCGACCCTAGGGGGATGTTGCTTCTTGTCCCGACTTTGATGTAGCAGACCTAAATTGTTTACATTTACAAGCCTATTTGTCACCTTCGCTATTAATGTCACAATTGTTGCCGCTATCGTTAAGCTGATCTACCTAGCGTAGCTATTATATATGTAGATTCAATACATTCGTAATTTACTAAACCTAAAAATGGATTCAAATAGAAAATACGTCGATATAACAAGATAGTTTGAATTCAAAACAATGAGTAACATGAGCAAAATATAGTTGGAACTTGAAACAAATGAGTAAGAGTACTAAGAGAGAAGCACATTGTTCATTAACCCAACAATCCAAATTCTCAGACCTGCACTAAGATGTATAAATATAATTATTGTTTGCTCTGTAATAAAATGACACATGCTATCAAGATTAATATCGTAATCAACCAAACCCTAATATTTATTTGCCTACTTTTAATCTCGCCTCCCTCCTTTTTGGCTTTTTCTCTTCCAACTTGTACTACAATTTTGGATTTCATATATTCTCCACATGCATCAATCATGCAAATTAGAGGCGGCCTTGGCCAATACGTATCTCCAAAAAGTAGTCAAAATAACTTTGATTTCCTAGCACTTTAATACTTCTGTTAGACGTTGATTTTTCTTTTCAGTTTTACACCTAAATTTGACTTTTATAACACTTTAATATTTCCGTTAAACTTTTCATCATGTTCTCTGTTAAGCGATGACGTGATATAACTTTGGTTCCCTAAATCTAAGCATTGTGTCTAGCTAATTCTAAACAAATATGGTAGACTAAAGTTAGGTTATGTTATCACTTAGTGCAGAACTTACAAAAAGCCCAATAGAGATATTAAAGTGTCAAAAAATCAAAGTTTAAGAATGAAACTGAGACGAATTTTTTTTAAAAGTAGCAAAGTATTAAAGATCACGTTACTCAAAGGTGATAAAGTAAGAATTACATGAAAAAATAAAAATATGATTGATGTGTAAATCTAACATGTGCGGAGGCAGAGAGTCGGCCGTTACTTATAATTTAAAAAGAAAATCGGACAAAAATATCTGTGAATAATTTAATTAAAAAAACTCAATTAATAACAAACTTTACAATCCTTTAGGCTTATAAACATTGAACAGTTTGCGTCCAAGTTGGACGCTGCTGGATCCGAGCTTGAAGATTCAAATAATATTCGCCCAATTGGCCATTGGCCGTCGCATTGGCGATTTGGGTTGTCTTCTTTCGTCGCCTTCATCCCCCCTTGACCGAAAAGGGAATTCAGAATTCATGCCATATTAACATCTGGTTGAAAGTTTTAACTTGCCATTGTTGCAGAGAAGTGAGAGAGACGATTCTTCTTCTTCTTCTTCTTCTTCTTCTTCTTTCCGTTTCGAATTGTGATATAGAGAGAGAGAGAGAGAGAGAGAGAGAGAGAGCATATGTGACATGATAAATGACATGAGCTGGTTTGAGAAGCTGCGTTGTAGTTGTTCTTCTTCCAATCTCAGCCGCATAATTGCAGGCCTTCTAATATTCATTCTTTGTCATTCTTTCCAATTAGTCTCCAAGATTCCTATACACCCTGAAAATTGAAACCCACAATTCCAAATTCCAAATTTTGTTTGAATTAATCATTCAATTAAAATTTCAATTCAATTCAATTCTTTTCGTTTCCCAATTTTCTTTTCAATTCCAAATTTCCAATGGACCCGAAGGATCCATTCTCTGCTGTATTATTTGATGGTATGCTTTCTGTCTTTGTATAATTTGAATTTCCATTTGAAAATTTGGGTTGTTATTTTTGAAAAAGTTTGTTGCTTTTGGTCTGAAAATTGTGATATTTGTGTTGAGTAGGCTCTGTTTCGTCTCACATTGGGAGGCAACAGAATGCATGCCCTTCTGTTATTGTTATTGGTGGTGGGATATCAGGGATTGCTGCTGCACGTATTCTCCATGATGCATCTTTTAAGGTCAGTGATCTGCAACTATTAGTGTTCTCTCTCTCTCTCTCTCTCTCTCTCTCTATCTCTCTCTCTGTGTATATGTGAATATGTTTAGACCCCTCAGGAATGATTGAAAAATTGTTGTATCTTGCTTGATTTCAGCAATGTCTTAACTTTATGTCATCATTTTCTCAGGTGATTTTGCTCGAATCACGGGACAGACTTGGTGGCCGGATTCATACGGACTACTCATTTGGTTGTCCAGTCGATATGGGAGCATCATGGTAACTTCATTGCTTTTAGTTCTGAGTATTTGAGGACCTCCCTTTTTTTGGTTGTTTTTTTTATAGTTTTACATTCTTGTTACCAAATTGGTTGGTTAATATAGTTGTACATGTTAATGAACAAATTTCCTGCTGTTTGATTAGTTTAATTTGGTTCCCGTGGCATTAGTTTATGTTTCATTGTTTAATTTGTATGCTTTATGCTGTATTTGAATCCTTTCTGCTGTTTGATTGAGATTATCTCCTGTTCCATTGCATAGAATCCTATTAACATGAAAAGGGTTAGAAATAAACAATTTACACTTAATGTGGCTTTTCCTAGGTTATGAGCATTACTCTTGGAAATTAGTTCTACTTATTCTTTAAGCATAGAAGCTCGTTATTGGTGGTGGGCTGGGGCTTAGCGGCTAGGTGGGTGCCTAGGAGGACTAGAGCGGATTTAAGTAAATCTATTATATTTTTCCCTCGTCCATTGTATTCATCAGCATGAACTCTGCTTCTTTTATTATAAATTGGGTCTTGGAGTATGTATGCTTCTCTCAGTGTTGAAAGGAATCCTTTTTACTAAAAGTTATAATTAAAGGTTTTAAAATGCTGCTGTCGCTTCCAGTTGTGCATTGCATTTGAAGAACTGAAGAAGATTAACTTAGGTTGAAGCTAATAGTATAATACTGTCTTCAATTTTATTTCAGGCTACATGGTGTTTGCAACGAGAATCCTTTGGCTCCACTGATACGCCGCTTAGGACTTACTCTATACCGTACGAGTGGCGATGACTCTGTGTTGTATGACCACGATTTGGAAAGGTAATCATATCATTGATTAAGTTACTATTTTTCTGACTGGACTTTGGATTTATGCTCGTAAATGTGTTGCACACAAGTTTTAAGAGGTAGAAGTGTCTTCCTTTTATCTACTTGATATAGATTTATTTAATCATAGGATGTGTAAACCATTGGGAAAGTTCCATTTGATGTCATTAGAACTGATATAAGTACTCTCAATGTTTCACATAACTCCGTTAAATTCCTATTTTGTTTTTAGCAATTTTCATCTTTGAAGCAGCGGAAAAAATTGAATTCAGGCCTTATCTTTTGCATTCTTTAAAATTTTATCTTCCACAGAATCATGCCATGACATTTTCCTTTGTAATAATTTTAATATTGAGTCTGAACTATTGTTTTACCTTCCAGCTTTGCACTTTTTGATACGGATGGCTGCCAAGTTTCTCAAAAGATAGTCGTTGAAGTTGGTGATACTTTCACGAAAATTCTCAAAGAGGTAGAATCTTTAAACTGCAATCCGGGTGCTTTGATTTTCTGGTTAATTATGAATCTAGCTCTGATGGAATCTGCAAACAAACTTTTATCGGTTTATTTCTCTAGACTGAGAAAGTAAGGAATGAGCATACCGATGACATGTCCGTTTCTCAAGCAATTTCTGTTGTGATGGATAGGCATCCTGAATTAAGGTATTGGAAACAAAGTAAATTAGGACACATTTTATTGTATTATGCTTCATTGTTTGATCTGTTAGTCTTACTGATTTAACTCCCACCATATGTAGACAAAACGGACTTGCTCACGAAGTGTTACAATGGTACATATGTCGAATGGAAGCGTGGTTTGCTGCAGATGCAGATGTAATATCACTAAAAAACTGGGATCAGGTTAGTTCAATATCTCCTTACAAGTGATGCCTCTGTGGTAATTACCTTGCGAGAGATCTCTTTAATGGGGAATGAATTGTTTCGGCCGGGTAATCATGATGCATTTAAGTCTAGGTACCTTTGAGTTATCTATTCATGAAGGCTTACAAGTTGAGGGTACTTGTTACACAGGAGCATGTTCTATCCGGTGGTCATGGACTTATGGTGCAAGGGTATGACCCAATAATAAAGGCTCTTGCAAAAGATATTGATGTACGCTTGAATCACAGGTATGTGTGCATGTACCATAATTGACAAATGCGTTTACTTAAGTTGGCATGGGTGTATTGTGAGTCTGCAAACAAAAAAATTGGCATAATTCCCTTTGTGGTAGCAATATATATACATTTTGTTGAGGTCAAAGACATTAAATCGGATTCTGAACTTTCATCTTTGCTGTGATGTTCTTAGTTATGTTTTTCTTAACGCCCCTCCTTCCTAGATCTTTCTGCCACCATTGGTTCTCAAATTATAAAATTAGCTTGTTCATTCCTTGACAAGCTTTGTTACATGGATTAGCTTTATCATTTTGTGTGTATAGCTTCCAAGGTTTACATTAGATTTTGAATATATATAGTTTCGTTAGGGCCTACAATTCCAAAGACTCGGGCTTCTTTGAGTTTGGGTTGTACTTCAACTTTGCTCGAATTTACTGGGTGATGACTAGAATATGGTGGCTGGTTCGCTGGTTTTGCCTAATTCCACTCCATCTTCAGTCCTAACAGATACAGATAGGATATAATTTTGAAATATGCAATCTATATTATTACAGTATTGGCTCTCCAAAGAGATATTTGACACTAGAGTCTTCTATGCAAGACAATTTCTTCGATTTTTTTTATTCTACCAAATACGCCTTAAGATAAATACAACTCTTATCTCTAAGAAGAGAGCTGGTAAAACAGTCGAAACAGAAGCCTATGGCATATCAGTATGACTGCCCCAGCCTCAAAGCTCAGATGGTGTCGTACGTTGGTTATGATAGTTTTTTAAGTCTGGATGGATGAATAATACAAAAGTTTGTATTTTCTTCTCTCTTCACTTCAAGAGAATACGTTGATAGTTTGATTATTGCAATGGTTTATTTAACGACAAATTTAGGTTTCTTCTACTCAGTATTACCAATCCTTTTGTGAACGTATCCTTTTTGAGTTTAGGGTGCAACTTCTTATAATAACTTATGCTTTTTGAGTTCTCAAATGTAAGATAAGTAAATTAAGAAGTGCACACATTCTTAGGGAAGACTATGTTTTTAATTTTTGCGATTCTTGATAATCAGGGTGATAAAGATACTAAATGTGTCTAACAAGGTGATGGTCACAATTGAGGACGGAAGAAACTTCATTGCAGATGCTGCTATAATAACAGTACCCCATGGGATTCTTAAAGCCAAGTTGATTGAGTTCGTACCCCAGTTGCCTGAGTGGAAGGTTGCTGCAATTTCTGATCTCGGTGTGGGCAATGAAAACAAAGTTGCCTTACGGTTTGAGAAAGTTTTCTGGCCAAATGTAGAGCTCTTGGGCATTGTTGCACCAAATTCTTTTGCGTGTGGTTATTTTCTCAATCTTCACAAGGCCACAGGCCATCCGGTCCTCGTTTACATGGCTGCTGGAAGGTTTGCGTATGACCTTGAAAAACTAACGAATGATGCTGCCGTTAATTTTGTGATGTTGCAGCTTAAGAAGATGTTGCCTGATGCCACTGAACCGGTAAGTTCTTCGTTTCCAGATATTTCTCAGTTTTTGGTCATCTTTTTATTTTCTCAAATTTGTACCATAGGTAACTGAAAAAAAGCGACAGTCCCTAAGCAGTCAGCCAGCAGGATTAAATTTCTTCTCAATGCCGGTGCTCAGGAGTCTACTCATATGAAAATTTGTGGACTTACCTTTTACTGGTCTCTATTTAACAGGTTCAATATCTGGTATCACGATGGGGAACGGACCTGAATTCTCTTGGATGTTACTCGTTGGATTTGGTTGGAAAGCCAGGAGATATATATGAGAGGCTTCGGGCACCTTTGGGTAATCTCTTTTTCGGTGGGGAAGCTGTTAGCATGGACCACCAAGGATCTGTACACGGAGCTTACTCGGCAGGAGTTATGGCTGCTGGGAACTGTCAGCAGCATCTGTTGCAGAAACTCGGTAATTTGGAGACCCTTCAGCATGCTTACCTTATGGAAGAAGTGCTTGAAGCAGCAACAGTTCCCCTCCAAATCTCAAGGATGTGAACCATTTTCTGATACTTCAGACATGAAAGATAGGATTTACAATTTCAAAGTTGTTGATCTAATTTAATCTTTTGGATTTATCAAGGAACCCTCATTAACTTGCAATGTTTTGAGATGTTTTAGTAAACTTACAACCGGGTCAAGGAAAACCCGAAGACCCGAGCTCCGCCTCTACCTTTTCTCCTCTCTTTAACTTTTGTTTCATCACCTCACTCCTCAGTGCTGCTTTCCTCTTAACAAATGCGTGCATGTCGAGTTCGACCTCCCATGGAAGTGCGAGAACGAATGGTACATTAGTATAAAGTCATAAACGAATGGTACATTAGTATAAAGTTGTTGATATAACATGAACGATACAGTTGTTGATATGACGTCAATATTCGATATCAATATCCTTATTTACATCATTCGCATTACTGTGGGTACTCTAGTTGGGCGTTGTGACCGTTTGTAATATAAAACCAACTTTAACCTCTTTTTTTTTTTTTTTTTTAACAAGCGATATTATACTAGACTCCAAATTCTTTGGTAGCAAACATAGAGAGAAAAAGATGACACTAGTTTGAAGCCCTGGTTTACTGCTGTTGAGCGATTAGCGTACCAAATTCTTTGGTAGGCCTATATATCGTAGTTTTTGCAGTGGAACTATGTATAAAGAAAGAAGTAGATTAAATTTAAAGGGGCTTGGAGATTTTAGCCTATGAACCAAAGAGAGGCGCGATGACGTTGTTTAAAAACTGCATAGGTTTCTTTATGTGTAAGCTACAACAATGACTACAATTTTATGCTACATGTAAAGTCTCACGAGATCTCTGATCTGTTATGCACGTTAACTATTAATAACATAAAGTCTTTCATTGATTTCTAACTTCTCACTAGTTTAGCGGATGCTTTTGCTAATTTTGGTGTGATGAATAGTAATTTTACGTGGTGGGATTTTATACCAGATTTTGCTTCCATTCTTCCGTTTGAGCTCATGAGGAGTAGATTGATGAAAAGGAGGTGAATATTGGCAGTGAAATATGAGTAGCAAAAAAAATGCAAGTGATTGAAGCTGAAGAATTCTTGATCCATAAAATATGGCTTTCATTAATTGTTTTTTGCAGGTATTGGTCTAGTTCCCCTGCTTGTTTTACTTTTGTTTTTTCTTCATATTATTAATAAAATCTAGCAAAGGGGGACAAGCAGTGGGTTTTCTGGGTGCAACGGTCCTTTCTTTTTTGGGGGAGGGTTGGTGCCTCATACATAATTGTCACATCCCAACCCGGGGAGGACCACTTCCCGGGCCCGATCCACCACCATAGCACGATATTGTCCACTTTGGGCCCCGACCACGCCCTCACGGTTTTGTTTCTGGGAACTCACACGAGAACTTCCCGATGGGTCACCCATCCTGGGAGTGCTCTCGCGCGCTACTCGCTTAACTTCGAAGTTCCTACGGAACCCAAAGCCAGTGAGCTCCCAAAATGCCTCGTGCTAGGTAGGGATGTGAATATACATTTAAGGATCAGTCCCCTAGGTGATGTGGGATGTTACATAATTGTTGGCAAAGAGTTAACATTGCCTAATCCTTCTCTATACAAAAAATAATTAAAAAAAAAAAATCACTTTCCTTGAATGACATGTACAATGAAGGGCATATTGGTAACCGAATGCAAATCTGAAATGATTTGTAGAGAATTAGTCTGAGACCAACAATTAGAAAACCACGATTCAACCACCAAAGTTACATAACTATAAAACACAAAAAATCCGACATTCAGTTTATGCAACTCATTGAAGGTTGAACTGAATATAAAAACTCCCATAGTTATGAGAAGTAGTCCAACTCTTTATAAACTCAAGCAAAATCTATTCTCTCATCAATCTGGAATTCATTTTCAACAATGTTTTTATAGTTGGCAGCTAGTCGGGCATCAAACGACACCACTATGTGCAAACCAAGACGATCTACTTAATTAATATGAATGAGAAAAACAAACGATAAACATAGTGCCTATTGTAAGGGACTAATTATAAAAATAAAAAATAAAAACAAAAAAATAAAAAACTGTACAAAATAATTAATTATTAAAAAATATTGTTTATATGACAAAAATACCCCTGCATTATTTTTTGTTACTTTTGAACTTTTTTGTTTGGGGAGCATTTTTGTCCAAATATTTTTGGTGAAGCCTTGACCCCAAAGGAGTCTACTGGCTTTATATATACAGATACAGATACGTGCCATCCAATACTAGTAATACGTCTGCATAAAATCCACATTAAAAATTAAATGTGCTTAGTTCTTCAAAGTTCAAAGGAATTTCAAAGGTTTTTGGTAAGGTCAATGTTTGCTCACTCTATTTTATTAATTTGCATATGGATATCATGCATGCCGACAAGATATTGTTCTTAATCCGATTCCAATTTTTCAAATGGAGCAGATGCCAAACGTGAAGTGGTTAATTTAAACGTATAACAATCGATCAGTCAGGGGATGATTATAAGCAGACAAAACCTTGTCGTTAAAACAAATAAATAAAATAACAACTACAATCAAGTCATTTTGTTTATAATTCATATCATAGGGATTTGACGAAGAACAAAATGTTAGTTGTCAACTACATGATCCACTCCCCCTCTTCCTTTATCCATGCTTAAAGCCGAAAGCACGTAAGATAAATTTACACATGCAGAGTTTAGATAATAAAAAAGAGGAAAATAAAAAAAAATATGATCCCTAGTCAAGTGCGGAAGTCATATCAATAACTCATTCATTCTCTTTAGGCTATCTGTGATCTAATAGTTAAAAACTAAAAGTTATAAAGTTAAATTTACTCAAAGTAAAATTTAACTTCAAATGTTATGTCATCCTTGATGCACAACAAATAAGAAACAAATAAGAATCAAATAGGGTAAAGTACAAAAAACTACCTTAACTATTGCGGTCATGACAATTTCATACCTCATCTTTTAAAATTGACAATGTCATACCGCATCTTACGAATTTGTGACAATGTCATACCTCCGTCAATTTTTCTGTTAGTTTTTCTGTTAAATGCTGACGTGGCAATAGACGGGGACCACTTTCTATTAAAAAATTAATAAAATATTATTAAAAACTAAAAAAAAATATTTAATATTTTTTAAATATTAAAATAATAAATAAAAATAAAATTAAAAAAAAAGTGTAAAGTACAAAAAAACTACCTTAACTATTCGGATCACGACAGTTTCATACCTCATCTTTTAAAATTGACAATGTCATACCGTATCTTACGAATTTGTGACAATGTCATACCTCCGTCAATTTTTCTGTTAGTTTTTCTGTTAAGTGCTGACATGACTTGATTTGTGACCTACTTTCTATTAATAAATTATTAAAAACTAAAAAATAATTATTTAATATTTTTTAAATATTAAAATAATAGTAAAAGGCCGGAAAAAAAAAAAAAAAAAAAAAAAAACAAACCCTCATTTCGTCCCTCCCCTCCCCCCTCCTCTTTGTCTTCCCCCCACACTCGCACTCAATTTCCCCACACCTACACCCATACCCACACCCACACTCTTCTCCCTCCTGCAACCCAAAAAAAAAAAAAAACGGGATCTCGTCGGTGGGAAGATGGGTGCACAAAGAAGGTGGAGGATGGGTGCGGAAGAGGATGTGGAGAATGGATGAAAGTGGTGGATTTGGGGTTTGATGGGTTTTCAAAAAAATAATTTTTTTTTTCCTTCTTCTTCTTCCTTCTTCTTCCGCAGGGGAGTTGATGGTTTTTTTTAAAAAAAATAAAAAAATTTCCTTCCTCCTTTTTTTCCTCTTCTTCTTCTTCCTCCTCCTTCTCCTTCTCCTTCTCCTTCTTCTTCTTCCGCAGGGGGTGTTGATGGGTTTTCAAATTTGTTTTTTATTTTTTCTTCCTCTTCTTCTTCTTCCTCCTCCTTTTCTTCCTCTTCTTCTTCTGCCTCCTTCTCCTTCTCCCTTCTTCTTCTTCCGCACCGATAGGGGGAATTTTTTTTTTCCTTCCTTCTTTTTTGTCCTCTTCTTCTTCTTCTTCTTCCTCCTCCTCCTCCTCCTCCTCCTCCTTCTCCTTCTTGTTCTTCAGCAGGAGGTTGTTGGGTTTTCAAAATTTTTTTATTTTTTTTATTTTTTTGGGTTTGCAAGTGGGGGGAAGAAAATGAAGATGGGGAGAAGAGAGAGGAGGTGTGACATCCCACATCGCCCAGGGGAGTGATCCTTAAATGTATATTCCCATCCCTACCTAGCACGAGGCCTTTTGGGAGCTCACTGGCTTCGGGTTCCGTAGGAACTCCTAAGTTAAGCGAGTAGCGCACGAGAGCACTCCCAGGATGGGTGACCCATCGGGAAGTTCTCATGTGAGTTCCCAGAAACAAAACCGTGAGGGCGTGGTATCGTGCTACTGTGGTGGAGCGGGCCCAGGAAGTGATCCGTCCCGGGCCGGGATGTGACAATTTGGTATCAGAGCCTAACCCTGGTCGCGTGTGTGCCGACGAGGACGTCGGGCCCCTAAGGGGGGTGGATTGTGACATCCCACATCGCCCAGGGGAGTGATCCTTATATGTATATTCTCATCCCTACCTAGCACGAGGCTTTTTGGGAGCTCACTGGCTTCGGGTTCCGTAGGAACTCCGAAGTTAAGCGAGAAGGGGGTTAGAGCAATCCCATGATGAGTGACCCACTGGGAAGTTGCTCGTAAGTTCCCAAAAACAAAACCGTGAGGGAATGGTAAGCCCAAAGCGGACAATATCGTGCTACGGTGGTGGAGCAGGCCTGGGAAGTGATCCGCCCTGGGCCGGGATGTGACAGGAGGGGGGAGGGGGAAGGGAGGGACAAACTGATGGTTTTTTTTTTCTCTGCTTTTATTATTATTTTAATATTTAAAAAATATTAAATAATTGTTTTTTAGTTTTTAATAATTTTTTAATAGAAAGTATGTCCCGAATCAAGCCACGTCAGAACTTAACAGAAAAATTGACGGAGGTATGACATTGTCACAAATTTGTAAGATGCGGTATAACATTGTCAATTTTAAAAGATGAGGTATGAAACTGTCGTGACCCCAACAGTTGAGGTAGTTTTTTGTACTTTACCCTTTTTTTTTATAATTTTACTTTTATTTATTATTTTAATATTTAAAAAATATTAAATATTTTTTTTAGTTTTTAATAATATTTTA